GGCTATTTGGCCACGCCCCCGGTTCCCCTTCGGCTATTCAGTGGGTGTGGCCCTGCCACCGCCGTCCCTCTTATGGGCTTTTCCTGACCGTTTCGGTTTCACCGATCCGCTTGGATGGGGCTCGCCATGTAGCAGCACCCTTGATCGCTTCTCATTTTTGGGCCTCGATGCGCTGTCCGACGAAGTTGGAAGCCCCCTTCGGCACCGGCTTCAATGCGCTGCCGATCCATTGGCTTGGACGCGCTAGGGTGGGCGCGGGCGGACGGATTCGGACGGGGCGGAGCAGCGACCGCATGGGCGGCCGCTGCTCTGTCTGCCAGAGCGCGCCGTCTGCGCAGCTCGAGCGCCGCACTCCACATCCTCCTCGGCGACCTGCGTGCGCGGGAACGGCAGGGGTCATGTCGCGCGCACCGGGCGGCGCCGTGCTCGCAGCAGCCGGGATCGCGGCAGAGTATGGTGGAGAGCTCTACCCGCGCACCTGCCCAGCGAGGAGCTCGACGCCGCTCCTGGCAGGCGAGGCAGGGATCTCGCACGATGTCGTGGGCGACGCCCGTCCGCAGCTGACACGTCGTGGTGACGATGATCGCGAGGAGCATCACGGTGAAGAGGAGCGTCCCGGCCCCTCGAGATGGAGGAGAGGAGGAAAAGGGGGCCGGGACGCAGGTTCTTCTTGCATCGCAGGGGGGTAGGCTGCACGAATTCGGCTGTGCACACGTGAATTCCGTACCGTCGGGATCCGCGAGCCTCTCGGCAGGACGCTCCGTCGTCGGATCCGTCGTCCTCGGCCTCGGGCCACATGTCCCAGTTCCTGCCTTCCACCCAGAAGCGGCTGACCAACATCGCGGTGGTGCGGTACAAGCGCGCCGGCAAAAAGTTCGAGGTAGCCTGCTACAAGAACACCATCATCGCGTGGCGCAACAAGGTGGAGACCGACATCGACGAGGTGCTGCAGGCGCACACCATCTATGCCGACATCGGGCGCGGCGTGCTGGCCAAGCGGGAGGACCTGATCGAGGCGTTCGGCACCGACGACGAGGACGCGGTCTGCGTCGAGATTCTGAACAAGGGCGA